CGGAATTCTCTACCGTGTGCATTATAGAGCAATAACGCTGGCTGTTTTTTAATAAACAGCTCAAACCCACGCTACGGGTCTCGTTACACGAAGAGGCGTTATCTATCCGTTTCAGCCAATAAATTACACGACTACGTGATTTTCTGGTCAACGTGCAGACGCGATATTCGACGCTTATATGCAAATTTCTTGCAGCTAGTGTTTTACAGAATTGATAAGCTTTCTTCGTGATGTTAGAACATTGTCTATTTTATCTGATTCATTGTCTGTATATTTCAGGTATCGGAATATATTGAAGGCTACTGGTAGAATTTCATTTGCGATGCAATTAATCGCTTTTGATGGTCGTATGTTTCTTCGTATGACTCTTATTCTTATATGCAAATTTCTCACAGTTAGTATTTTACAGAATTGATCAGTTTTTTCATGGTATTCGAGAATAACATTGTCTATTTTTTCTGATTCATGAATATTTCAGATATTGGAATATACAGGGTGTCTCACAATTAATGTAGCAGCCGCTAGGCTCAAAGCTGACGCTCTCGCGTCTGCGCATGCGCAAACCTCGCGTCTGCGCATGCGTAAACCTCCTTACTGTTTTTCCTTAATAATTCAAAAACGGCGCTTCAAATCCCATTTTCGCAAAAGGAAATTTTATTCAGAATCACGTCAGCTACCCCCCATTTCAGGGACCTACACTAATTATGAAACAACCTGTAGACTCATTTGGTATATTATACCAAAATTACGAAGATTGGCAACATACAACACTTACAATAGATTATTGACTTTTTATATGCTACAGAACCTTAGAACTTTCTGTTCTTCATCAACAAGTATTCTCTTAAACATCTATGTTTCTCATTATTTAAATAATTTAGCCTCTTATAATATTTTGATGAGGCAGACTCGTGACTTACGGTTCAAAATTTTGCTTGAATATTTAATATACTTCAATTTCAAGTTCCAATTATAATTTGTACAGTCAAACACTCGTGACTTATTGTTCAAATGCGACAAATCTTGATTTAATATTTAATACATTTCAATTTGAAGTCCCAATTATAATTTGTACAGTCAAAGACTATACTGGATGGATATACATAGACAGTAATATATTTCAGTCGCGTTAAACATGGACCAATTTGACAAATATATGCAGCAGCTGTTAATTATAACTTTTGCAATTTTGTATTCGCTCTTCTAGTTATCAGTTTGCCACACCTCGGTGCTTGAGAGTGAGTTAGATAACAAGATCCATATTTGCTACGAAATGACTCAATTTAACACGCGTACAAAATTGATTGCAGAGTTCGGGAAACAAATAATTATTGCACGATATTTAATTATCGAAAGTATGTCAAAATAATTTTTGATGCTGTTCACGAATTTAGTGGGAGTTAAAAAATTATTCGATCAACAGTTTCGAGATTGAATTTAATTATAAATGAAACATCGGTTAATTAGCGTTCGGATGGAAGCTTAAGTATTTAGAAGCCTGAAACTTTGACTAGTTTTTCGTAAAAAGAACGTAAAACCATCGTGATTTTATGGAAAGTGTTCTTTTCACAAGCGAAAGATGAAAGAACGAGAATCTGGAGTTCTATCGGGGCGCGAAATCGATAGAGAGTCGTAGCGAAGATATATATCGTGAGACGTGTCCACGGAGTTGAAACGCTTTTGTAAAATCCATAACGCTCAAATGTATCCCGTACGTGTTCGGTGGAAAAGTTATCGCACACCGGCGCGTCGTGAAATACGCGCGAAACTCGCTTGGAATCCGCTAGCGAAGAGGCCTCGAGAGTCTCGAAAGTGGCTCAACATCTCGCATCCATCAGCGTGAAAAGCGTGAACAAGAGAAACGGAAATTACGTTGTTACATTCAATTTTCGTTCCCTCGTGTTTCGAATGCCAGCTTTACTGCACGAAACTCGAATGTAGCTTTGCGCGAATGATCGTGCAGCGGGTCGGCCAATTTCCGCAGCTTGCTGATTTCTTACTGCTTCGTTTTATTTGGTGATCGATGCCGCTGAACCGGCGAAACAGGAACTTTCATGGGATTAAATCCGATACGATTCTATTCGGTTTGATCCGAAGCTAATTAACTCTCGACGAGATTCAATTAAATGTAATTCGAATCCAACGTGATTCAATTCGATTTATACATCGTTCGGTACAAATTCTAACGTGATTCAATTTGGTTAGATTCAATTCCGATGCGAGTCAATTTGGGGTGATTCAATTTCGACTGATCTCGATTCGAGGGGATTTAATTTCAATGCATTTGGTTCAGCGCTGTTCAATTCTGACGTGGTTCAATTCGAATGTAATTCAATTCCAACACGTTACTATTAGAATGTAATTCAATTCCAACACTTTGCAATTCGAATGCAATTCAATTCCAACACGTTAAAATTCGAAAATGATTCAATTCCAACGTGTTCCAATTCCATCGTGATTCAATTCCAACGTGTTGCAATTCCATCGTGATTCAATTCCAACACGTTACAATTCGAATGCAATTCAGTTCCAATACTTTGCAATTTGAATGCAATTCAATTCCAACACGTTACAATTCGAATGCAATTCAATTCCAACACGTTAAAATTCGAAAATGATTCAATTCCAACGTGTTCCAATTCCATCGTGATTCAATTCCAACACGTTACAATTCAAATGCAATTCAATTCCAACACTTTGCAATTCGAATGCAATTCAATTCCAACACGTTACAATTCGAATGCAATTCAATTCCAACACGTTACAATTCGAATGTAATTCAATTCCAACGTGTTCCAATTCCGTCGTGATTCAATTCCAACGTGTTCCAATTCCACCGTGATTCAATTCCAACACGTTACAATTCGAATGCAATTAAATTCCAACACTTTGCAATTCGAATGCAATTCAATTCCAACACGTTACAATTTGAATGTAATTCAATTCGAACATAATTCAATTCCATCGCGATTCAATTCCAACGTGCTTCAATTCGAGCATGGTTCAATTCAAACATTTTTCAATTCTATTGTTATTTCCTTCAAACATGATCCAATTCCAACATGGTTCAATTTGAACTTCATTCAACTTTGTTCAGGTGAATTCAGTTCTAAAGTCAATTACTTAAATGTGATTCAGTTAAACTCCATTCAGTTCGATATGATACTACTTAATTGTACTTCAGTTAACTTTCTTATCCAACTCATTCAATTCCGTCCGACGCAATTTAATTCTGCGTCATTAATTCAAGGCGAGATCAACGCAACTACGACTTAGAAATTTCCCGCTTTGTCTATTTGCTTCTCACGCTATATTTTTCCAAGCAGTATAACAAAAATTTGTTCCAATAGTCGGCACATGCCGAACATAATATACTTTTCTAGTTATCGTAATCGTAGGAACGAGCGCAAGAATAATCTCCTTTTCCGGTACATAAAAAGGTCTTATCGTGTTAGTCATGGAAAACGATTCTATGTTAGAACATCAAAGCTAGCGCAAAGTGCTAACACGACGTAATCAGTGAAACTAGAGTTATTGATCACTAATGGAACTATTTCGATTGTTTTAAAGTGGACATTAAAAATATATTAGAACCGCATTTGTCGTAATAAACCGCCCCGTAAGATTATCGTAAATAATTAATCGATTATCAACGGGACAGTTAAACAGAAATTTATGGTACTTAGAACGGTAATAAAAAAACAATATTATCTTTAGGTCACAATATCCATCGTTGCTGTCTATTTGAACCGAGTTATCGCTCGTCGAAGAATGATTTATTATTCCTACTGTTTATTGCGTTACTGTCATTTTAATTAAAACAGCTTAATAGAAAATGGGATGGATCTAATATTCGATCTTCAATTATATTTTAATAATAACTTCAAATATTTCAGGAATGTTAAATATTTCACATATTTTGTAAATGCAGAAGATTTACGGTCGTATCTGAATTTTTCTCTCTGACTTTTTTGTAGTTTCACCTGTGGCCAAACTGCAGCTGTTATGTGTTATGGAGCTATGATATTTTATGTATTTTGTAAATAAGATTTACAGTCGTACTTTTTCTCTGTAATTTTTTTGTAACTTCACCTGTGAACTGGAGCTACGTTATGTTATATCAGAAGTTTATCAAACACACAGAAACCACTTTGATTCCACCTACGTGTTTCAAGCACAAATTCTCAATTTTACGTTTGATCTCTTTCCGCCAATTACCGAATACCGTACACATAGTTCCAAAACTGTTATCAATTTCAACTTATCGAGCCTAACCGTTTGCTGAAACAACGTTGAGCAACGTTGTTTGCCAGAGTGCATCATTTCATTACTATTCCGCTAATTTGCGTTCGCGAGTTAGCCGGTGTATTCTTTTCTTTGCGAAATACGATTCCGTCCACGAGATATTCGGCTCTCGGGCCGGTGATTCTGATTTTATAATTAACAGTCCTAACGTCGTGATGTCGTAACGTCCGATTGCGTAGACCACAATGAGCTAATCGTTCAAGCAAAACAATCCAGCGACTCTTCGATTAATTCATATTCCTTGTATGATTGCTTCACCGATTGGAATTATGGTGTCTCTACTCTGTAAGAGAAATGTGGTATTTTATCTGGAATTTTAATCAGGTTTAGTTGAATGGACTGTACTATTTAAGTGGTTTTAAATTGTCACGCGTTCAATAGCTGTGTTACTTTAGTATATGTTGGATAATCGCGTGTTACATTAACGCACGCTAGATAGTCACGCGTGGTATTAATACACGTTAGATAGTCACGTGTGGTATTAGTACACGTTACATAGCCACGCGTTACAATTACTACAAGTTAGATAGCCACGCGTTGCATTAATGACACGTTAGATAGCAACGCGTTACAATTACTACACGTTAGATAGCCACGCGTTATAATTACTACACGTTAGATAGCCACGCGTTACAATTACTACACGTTAGATAGCCACGCGTTACAATTACTACACGTTAGATAGCCACGCGTTACAATTACTACACGTTAGATAGCCACGCGTTACAATTACTACACGTTAGATAGCCACGCATTATATGAATACACGTTAGATAGCCACGCGTTACATTAATGGCACGTTAGATATCTACATGTTACATTAAGGACACGTTAGATAGCCACGCGTTACAATTACTACACGTTAGATAGCCACGCGTTACAATTACTACACGTTAGATAGCCACGCGTTACAATTACTACACGTTAGATAGCCACGCGTTACAATTACTACGCGTTAGATAGCCACGCATTACAGTAATGACACGTTGGATATCTACACTTTACATTAATGACACGTTAGATAGCCACGCGTTACAATTACTACACGTTAGATAGCCACGCGTTACAATTACTACGCGTTAGATAGTCTCGCGTTACAATTACTACACATTCGATAGCCACGCGTTACATTCATATACATTAGGTAATCACGAGTTACATTAATATATGTTAGAGAGCAACGCGTTACATTAATACGCTCTAGATAGTCACGCATTATATTAATACACGTTAGATGATCACGCGTTACATTAATACACGTTAGGTAATCATGAGTTACATTAATACACGCCAGATAGCTATGCATTATATTAATACATGGTAGATAGTCACGCCTTATGTTAATACACATTAGATAGTCACTTGTTACATTAATACACGTTACATTAATACATGCTAGACAATCCCGCATTACATTAATACACCTTACATAGCGTTACATTACTAATATGGCTTATTTGGACTTCCAATACGGCGCGAGCTAATTCACCTATTAATTTCTAATGCAATTAAATTCGACGCAATTCAATTTCAACGACTCAATTCGATGTGAATTCTAATGTTATTATATCGGCGCGATTGAATTCCAACATGATTAAATTCCAACGCGATTCAATTCCAGCCTGATTCCATTCGACACGGTTGAATTGCAACCCTATTTAATTCATCATCATTCAATTTCAACGTGGTTCGATGCGATTCAATTTCATTATGATTCAGTTGTATTGCCATAAGGTGATTATGTACCATGTATTGCCAATCAATCACATTTGTCAAGAGAACAAATTGGAATAATATTTTTTTAATTATTTAATCTACGTGACGTAAATCTCTTCGGCAACGATACAGAAGTTCGGTTCGGTTGCAAAACGAAATCATGAGAATGTCGGATTACCAAGGAAGTTAATGGCTTTTCCCTCGGCTGGCTCAGAAGAGATTTTCATTGTTCTGAGTTCTAGTGGTTTTGCTTTCGTAATTCGGATTGTAACTCAACGGAAAGAAATATGTTAACGCGCTAAGGGAAGCGTTGTAATTAATTTGCATAGGTGTTCAGCTAGCCAATGTCTTGCAGAACACCTGCGTGGCTTAAGTAATTAGTAGTTGTACACATCTCTTAACGAACCACAATTGTTCGCTCGTATCTACCAGTTGTGTAATCACAAATGTATCAGCTAATAGATGTTCTGGCTAGATGTTCAAATATTTGAACGAAAGACCTACATTTATGGAAAGAATAACTCGATAAGATTTCATAAATCCTACCAAGTTGAAAAATTCCTAAAATTAATTTTCATTTTCCTCTAAATTAAATTTGGATTAGAAACTGTATTAAAATAGAAGACCGATTAAGACTGTAGATTATATAATCTTTGTGTAATTTTAATGGCCCTCCTCAACGAGAATCAATACTGTATTTAACCCAGTTTATGATTCATTCTCACGATTCGGCCTGAGATTTATTGATCAGAATTTGATTTCTAACATTAGATACAGAATTGACGAATGGAGATAATTTTAAATCTTGAGAATAGAGATTTATCAAAGATCTATGAAAGATAGCTCAAATTCTATTTATTACTTGAATCAAAATTTATCCTACATCTGCAACCGTCTGATACCGCATGTAATCCGCGTAAACTTCTTTCAAATTGTCTCTCACCTAATCTCTTGAAATGAGACCAGTGTCTCCAACAGAGGCAAATAAGAAACGATTTTCCGTCCCGATGGCTTCCTGGCCGGCAAGATAAAGAGATGCAACGAGAACGGAACGAACTTAACCGGATGGGCTATTATTTATACAGTTCGTAAGCTTCTTAAGGAGAATCGCGTCGCTAAAAGGCAAGAAATTCCAGAGTCGTTCACGCCTATAAGAATGATAAAACGGTTGCAACGTGCTGCGAGTGGAAACGTCTCTGTTTACGAACGATGACTTTAACGAGGACACGGTTCCTGAGAAAATGCCGCAGACCGCCGATGCTAATTAATTAGCGTGTACGCTAAATAATTCACTTTCATCGCGATAGCGACGACCGCGAGTAACAGCAGCTGATAATTGCATGCGGAGAATAACGGAAATCTATCGAGGAAGGAAGATACCACGTGGTTCTTCCGGCTTTGGTACACAAAATTGGCATATGTGGTTGTCAACCGTTGCTTCCATTTTTACAGATTATTAAAATATCGCTTTGGTACATTTTTTCAGCACTAAAATTAAAATAGTATTTACAGGTAACTAATAGAATTAATAGCTTGAAGTTTGATGAAAAAGGTCTACATAGACTTAATACAAAATGGTTGTCTGTATACAAATTAAGGACTGACTTTGAACAGGCTCAAGATCAGCATCTACTAAAATTAAAATAGTACTAAGAGCTAACTTATGGAATTAATATGGAGCTTGAAGTTTGATGAAAAATGTCTACATAGACTTAATACAAAATGGTTGTCTGTATAGAAATTAAGAACTGACTTTGAACAGGCTGAAGATCAGCATCTACTACAATTAAAATAGTACTAACAGCTAACTAATGGAATTAATATGGAGCTTGAAGTTTGAAAAGTCTACATGAACTTAATACAAAATGGTTGTCTGTTAGTTACAGAAATTAACAACCAACTTTGAACAGGCTCAAGATCAACATCCACTAAAATTAAAATAGTACTAACAGCTAACTAATGAAATTAATATGGAGCTTGAAGTTTGAAAAGTCTACATGAACTTAATACAAAATGGTTGTCTGTTAGTTACAGAAATTAACAGCCAACTTTGAACACTCTCAAGATCAGCATCTACTAAAATTAAAATAAGACTAACAGCTAACTAATGGAATTAATATGGAGCTTGAAGTTTGATGAAAACAGTCTACATGAACTAATACAAAATGGCTGTCTCTCAATTACAGAAATTAATAACCGACTTCGAACAGGCTCAGCATCTGCATACATTTACGTTTTTAGATAGCATTCAGTTAGTTAGGATGTATCATACTCTTGTGTATCCTAACAGAATCACTTCATATTCCATCCACTAAATTTCGAAGTTCTCGTCACAGCCGACACTCCTATATTTTGTTTGATGTTTCCAAAAGTTCCACCGCGGTCCTCTATATTGCTAGCCAGGACTTCGTTCAGCCTCAACAGAGTCCTCGAAGCGCTCATCAAACTTCAAGTATCCTCTCAGCTCTTGCGTGAAATAAGTTACTATCCGCGCGAGTGCTTTTCGGATGAAATTGAGCTCAAAATGCGCTTGATACCCCTAGCACATTAGCTCTATCGTATTACTATCGTGTTATAATTTTCAAGTGCTAATAAACTTTGTTAGAACATAGGCCTTTTTGGTTAGGGTCAGTTACAAGTCAAATAGCAAACTTTTTATGAACCTCGCTAATCTCACGCATTTAATGTTTTTCTATTTCAATTGTTACTTTTCCCTGGGAAATATCACTAGAATGGTTAGCGAAACGCGTCGAATCCTTTCGCTGATTCCCACACGTGCCCTATTCATTATCCGACAGTGAAAACTCGTCAACAAAGATCGAGCAAACACTTAGACCAGCGAAATGCAATCGTACGAGACGAACGGTAAAAATGTGCACGGTGTGCACTCGGTTATCGTGTAGAGAGCACCGTGGTATACCTGCGGTTTAAACGCGGCCAAGAAACGAATAGAAACTAATCGATAATGGTAAATTGCTGTATGTATTATGCACGTAATAAATAAACAGTCGAGACTTCTCGCGTGACTTCCGGCTCGATTGTTCACCACAAGTACGCTTAAGGAACGTGCAACGTCGTTTAGCGACCGTAGCGGAGGACGAGGAAGAAACCAGGTGTATACTCGCGCCATGCGACGAATTATTTAACTGCAACATTGAAATACTTATGAGAGACTGCTTAACGTCAAGTTCGAAGAGTACATAATGGGTACCTGGTCTAAAGTTAGACATCGGTGACCGAGTGGTTACTGCGGTTTCCTTCGAAATTCCTCCCAAGTCCATTGAATATGTAGTCAATTAGTCCGTTGACCGAACAGACAGTTTCCCATGGGACTGATTCCTTGTTCCACTAATTGATCCATTAATTGCTTTGCACTCTGTCGCTCAAAAATGTTCGATGTTCGTTACTCTATAAACTCGAATGCACCTGTAAATTTGACAGTTAATTATATGGAATAGAGATTTTAGAGATTCGAATAAATTAACCATAAGTCCTTCTGTTTCAGGTTACCGAGGCAGTAGTCATGTAATACTTGGCAAACGAGAAGGCTGATCTCTCTCCCCTTATATTCGGTTGTGAACGCTTCCCCGTAGCAGCTCCTCCCCGGTCGAACCTCGTCGTAGCTTCCGATCAATCGCGGATCGGGTGATGATCTCAGGTCACCAGACAACAGGCTCCGTCAGAAAATGTTCCGCTCCAAGATTCGCATTCACACGTGTCAAGTGATACTGCTCACGTCGCTGGTATGGTTCCTGGTGGACGTGATGGTGTTGATGCTCTATTCGGACTGCATCGGAGGGTCCGGATGGGGTTGTACCGAGAACGGTAAACAGCAGGCGTCGCTGACCGAGGAGAACTTGCCGCACGCGAAGGCCCTGACCAAGGAAGAACAGCAGATCCAGTCGAGCAACGAGCACAGCAAGAAACGATACAAACAGTCCGAGCTGCATTTTTGGCGACCCGCTAAAGTCGTCCGCGAGAACAAGGGTAAACCCGGCGAGATGGGC